CGGCTTGCTGCTCGCCCGCGTGAGTGCGCCCTCGTCCCGCGCGGGATTACGCGTCGTGCTCCGGGTTTCCTAAGAAGAGCGCCCCACCTGCTCCGCCGCGTTTCGCCCGCCCCGGGGCGCGGTACCGGCACGCGGGGCCCGCCCAGGTCGAGAGGGACCGGGGAATCCCGGCTGTCGGGGGCCGAGTTCTGAGCGCAGGGCTGGAAGGTGCGAGCGCCCGCCCCTGCTGCCCTGGGTCTGCTGGGAGCTGGACGAGCCACCTGCGCGGCCCCCCGTTGGGATGGAGGTGGCGTTTGCTTCGTCATTAGCCCCTAGGTTCCCCGCCCGGTACTTACGTGTGTGTTTCGGAGCGTGTCAAGTTTATACAGTTTCCTCTGGGGAATATTCTGCGTTTTGAAAGTGCACCGAAGAAAGGATATGCCGAGAAGTTGGCTAAGCGAGCGCCCGTGTCCCCGGGATGTCCCTTCCTCCGAGACCGTGTTTCCCGCCTGAAAGCAGGGCGAGTGTGTGCGCGCACAGGCCGGAGACCCCCCAGACCCCGTCTCGCTGGAACGCGTCCCCTCCGGCTCGCAAAGCCAAGGGTGGAGTCTGGGGCGAGCGCCGAGGGTGACTGGGTTTCATGGGCACCGGTCGAGGCGCCGCAGAAGCTCCGGCTGGGTGGCCGCTGGCTGGGAGCCGGTGGGGACTCAGGCAAGCGTGGGTTAAAGCGGCCCTGGCGCCCAGATGCCCAGGTCTTCCGCGCTGCGGTCTCATTGTGAGGCAGTTTCCTCCTCTACAGGGAACGTGATTTCTCTGATACTGAATTCGGGCCACTAACTCCTTCTCTGTGGAAAGCACAGTTTGACACGGGGTCCCTGTACTAGGTGGCTGTCCAGTAATGAGGTAGAGAAAATAGAAAACCAGAAAGCCTGAGCTCGTCCGAAGGTAGGGATGAATGTAGCCAAAGAATCCAGCATTCTGTCCCTCTCTTAATTGTGTTAGAAAATTGCATTCCTGGTGGGACTTCAGCTGACCGCTCGGCTCAGAGCAAGTACACACAGATGGCCCCATGCCTGAGCGGGCCTCGCTGGCTTGGGCCTCAGGAAAAGCTCAGGGCGCGCAGGGAGAGAGCAAGCGAGCACAGAGTCCTTGGCGGTCTACAGCTCCCGCTACAGTGAGAGGCAGTAAGGGAAACCTGGCCTCTGTGAACAGGGACCCGAGAATGCGGTTTCTGAGGGCCGAGAGCTGCAGTTTGTCTTACACGCGGGGACAGGCGGTGTCAGGCACTGTGAGCACCTGCAGTCCCGTGATGGGCCTGACTGGAACCCCCAGCCCCGTGGGACACATGTTGGCCCCCCTCACCTCTGCCCACACCTCACCTTGCTTACTCCACCCTTTCTGAAGAACTTTGCGCGAATTCTAAGTCAGAGTAACCACAGTGCTGTCTGTATTTGTAGGGTTAAGTTCTGAGTGCATACTGAAGCCTTAAAGATGAAGTTATCTTATTATGCTCTTTCCAGGGAACTCAGAGACGGTCCTTAGCTGGGCATGCTGGCGTCTGCGGGCATGCAGTCATTAGGGAAGGCCTTGCCGGCTCACAGGGGCATGCTATAATCGGATCAAGGGTATGAAGTGGAAGGCTCTTGGATATTGAGATTATTGGATTAAAGAGTTCTCTTGCCTCCAAATTAGTGCTGGCAGCCTACAATGTGTCATGTTAGCAAATTCGTTTTCCTGCTCAGAATATTCTGCTAGGGTTTATATTTGTTTGATCATATCTTTACAAGTAAAAAGTGGATTAAATAATAGCTATGCCAGAAGAATAAAGGTGATTGTTTTCGAATGGACATGAGTTTAGAAGCAGTTTAGGACTTGTGAGGTTTTAGTGTTTTGCTTTTGTTTTTGTTCTTTTGTAACTTGCTGAACTCTCTGGAGAAAGAGACACAGAGAAAGTGAGAAAACATCCCCCAGAAGAGATGGCCGCACTGCTGTCCCTTCTCTGTCCTCTCTGGATTGGGCACGCACACACATGCTCCCAGCCCAGTCTGGCTCTGGAACCACGCAGCTGGCCATGTGGGATCCAGCTGCCTTAACCACCAGGCCACCGGCCGGCCCTAGTTTTAGTGTTTTTTGTAAAACCTTTGCTTGACAGTCCCCTTACTGTGGAATTTTTAGTCACCTCTGTTCCTTTTGACCTTGAGCAGGTGAACGGCATTCACCCAGAATGCCGATTCCATCTGGAAATACAGGAGGAGGAGAGAAGGTGTGTGGAGCTTCTCAAGGCTCACGCAGGAGAACACAAAGGTGAGCCGGGGTCGTGCGGATTGGGGTGCAGTCGGGGCGCAGGCCGCTCACACACACTGACATCTGTGGGTTAAGTTCACCTGCATCTTTGAAAAAAATCCACTTCCTGCTGTTTTTTAATGAACCCGTGCGTGGGGGGGGGACCATGCAGTGTTGCATCGGTACAGTCTTCACAGAAGCCTTGTAGAAGAGTCCTCATTGTTGACAGTGACTGTCCCATGGTCGGAGGTGATGGCCGCGGTTCCTGGCATGACAGGTGGGCTTCGCCGAGGCAGCTGGGCTTTCTACAGTGCAAACGTCTCCTGAACTCCAGTTATATCACAGATGACTGAGGTCTGATTAGGGAGGGCAGAGGGCAGAGTAAGCAGGGGGACGGGGCTTGCTTCCCCGAAGACAGACTGCTGCGACGGCCATGAGCTGCGGCTTTGCCCTCCCGACTCGGAGGCAACCTGGGCAGCGGGCGCTCGGCCTGGGTCCTCGCAGCACGCAGACTGCAGGCTCTGTGCCAACGCCCTGGTCGTCCACCACCTGCAGCCTTTGGTCCTGCAGTTTTCTATTCGTCCGCTCCAGTCATGATTTTATCCTCTTCAAGAAAGAAATAAAGAGGCCGGCAGGTGGTGTGGTGATCAGAGTGCTGGACTCCCACGTGGCCGGCCACGGTTTGAGTCTTGGATCTGGAGGCTTGCTTTCTCACTTTCCCTCTCTCTTTGTTTCTCTGTGGTCAGATTAAAATAAGAATAATAAATTAAATTAAATAATTTTTAAAAAGAAAGAAATGAAGACGAAGCAGGGTTGCATGAAGACAGTCTGGTGCCGACGTTGGGCCAACCACGGGCTTCCTTCTGGGCGGTCCTGCCTCAGGCACAGGGGAGCCAGCAGGGAGTTTGTGTTCTGGTAGCTGCTTTAAAGCAAGTACAAAGAGAGGCCAGCAGGTGGCATGGTGGGAAAGGGCTGGACCCCCACTTGGCCAAGTAAGCTGGACCTGACAGCTTAAAAATCAAACCAGATGTGCGTGCATGCCCAATCCCAAGAGGAGAATGGAGGAGAAAGGACTGCAGCGTGGCCATCTCCCCTGGTGGGTGACTTCTCACTTTCTCTCTCTGGTGAGCACTTGTGCCTGTGGCAAAAGAAAAAAAGGAACATGCAATTAATTGTAATAACATATTTTACTTACCCAAATATATCCAAATATTTATTTTTTCAACTTACAATCAACATAAAAGTATCAACTTTACAGTCTTTTATACCAAGTTTAGAAGTCTGGTGTGCCTTTGCGCTCACTGACCGGGGACCACATTTCCAGGCGCAGTCGGCAGCCACGCCCAGCCTGTGGCCCTGCCTGTGTCTGAAATGGACACCCTCTGCCCCGCTGCCCTCCTCATCACAGAGGTGAGGGCTCCTGCTCCAGGCTGCCTCCAGCCCTGAAGATCTGCAGCTCCAGGGCTCGCGGTCCCATTGGCCTCCCTGCCACACTGTCTGGCTGAGCTCTGTCCAGAGAGAGCTGATGAAGGACGTGGCCCTGCGGCAAAGCATGCTCCACATCTGCTCTGTGACCTGCTGACCGCATGGCGGCTGACCAGGACAGACGAGGCAGCCAGGGCCTACCCAGGGCTTCGGAGCACCCGGGCCTGCTCTTCTCAGGGAAGATTCGAGCTAGAGGCAGCCGTTGAGAAGCACCCAGTCCTGGGTGGCCTCCCTGCCCGACCCAGGTGGTTCTCCCAGGAGGCTAGTGCCGGTGCCGAGTGGCCCAGCGTTCTGTTTTCAGAGCACTCCAAAGACGAGAGTGCATGTTGGTGTCACAGAATTCTGCAGACGTGTGGCAGCGCTGCCTGGGTGCCACAGGGATTCGAGGTGCAAGGCTGCAGTGAGCATAAGCCCTGGGCCAGACTCCTGGACACCACCCACAGCGAGCCAGCGCCTTTCAGCGTTTGCTGGCTCGTCCTCAGGGCACTTCTGTGTGAGAGGGCAGGTCATGGAAATCACAGGCTTCCTGGGTGTGAGTGGGAGCAGAAGTGGCTGCAGGTGCAGGTGAAGGCCACCTGGCGTCACCATCTGGAGCGAGAACGAGCATGCCGTTCAGTGTCCTCGCAAGGACCAGTGTCTGCCGGGCGTCTTATGCTGTAGCGTTGTCGGAATTGGCTCCCAGCAAGGACCCGTATCTAACTCACCTCACCTTTCTGACTTTTGAGAAATGTTCGGTACAAAGCCCTCCACCCTCAGAGATGCACAATGTGGCAGGCCAGCCCCCCCCCCGCCACGCCAGCTTCCGTAGAGAGAACTTGTGCTCAGAGAAATCTGTCTAGCTCTGAAATGTGTGCAGCTTAACTGCCAAGGACCTAAGTAGCCATGCGTTACCAGAATAAAGGTCCTCTCGGGCATGGAAGCCGGATCCGGAGGCTGCGGCACTGTGGGAAGGTGTGTGGACGATGGCGGCACGTGCATATGCATGGCGTGAGCTGAGGTCTTCGGGCGCCACTTCCAGATTTCCAGGGCGTAAGACTGTGCAGGAGCACAGAGGCAGACCCCACAGCCTCTTCCAGCCCCGTGAGGCATTTGTGTGACGTCTGACGTGGAAATCTTCCTCTTTAGTGCATGTTGAGTACAAAATTAGAAACAAAAAAATGAACCTGTCATAGCATCCAACAGAAACCTTCACAACCATAAGCTCCCTCTGAGTACTCACGCTGTCCTTGGGGTTTGGGTGACCATGCAGCTCCATCTCTAAGGCAAACATACTGCGCCCAGTGGCCAGAGAGCCTAAGATCCGTGGCTGGGGTCCACTGCCAGCCCTGCAGAGGCTTTGCGGCTCCAGCCTGTGCATGGTTCAGAGGGAACCCCCAAGCACCTTCGTGCCGTCTTGGCCTCTGTCTGAGGGAGCAGGGCCCGTGTTTGGGAGGAGCAGAGGCGCGTGGTTTCCTAGGTAGCCCACCAAGAGACACGCTGCACCAGCATGATGGCACAGGCTAGCTTAGGACCAGGCCACTGGCTGCTGGACTGAAAACTTAAGTGTATTTGTTTGGGTTTTTTATAAGCAAAGTATACAAACTGATTTCAGTCTAATGCCAGGAACTCAGAAGGTTTCAAATTGTTCCCATTTGCAAGCCGACACGGTGGCCTGCCAAGTTCCCTAGATGCTGGCAGACCGGGGGAGTGTAGCCGAGACAAAAGACAGCTGTTGGTGCAGCAGGGCACGGGCTTCGTGGCCCTCAGTGTTCTTTGCTCATCTCCACACACGACACAAGACGGTCACTTGGCTGCAGAGTGGCTGGGGGGTGGTGCTGGGGACCTGCCAGCTTTGTTCTGGGGAGAGATGGATCTCAGTGATGGGGTCAGCCAGAGGGAGAGGCTGTCTCTGCCCCTCTCTGTGTTTGTTGCACAGACAGCTTGGAATGCAAGTGGTCGGTACTTCCTCACAGGGCCCCTGGCCAGGCATGATGGCTCCTGGGCAGATCCGGAGCCCTGGGTCACCCAGGCCCAGGTCCCCAGACTCTGGGACTCAGGGTGCTCACTGCATGCTCTGACAGCCATGACTGGAGCCCACTGTGTCTTAGCGGTCAGTCCTGCAGCTACACTGACCTCAAGGGGAGGGACGGCACCTGGGTGCTATTGAATCTCAAATTTTATGCAATTCTTGACATTTAATAAGAAATTCTCTGTGGTGATTTTCAAGTTGCCAGTTTCGGGACTCAAACTGCAATCTATCAAGTGGGAATCCAGTGCCTTAACCACCCTGCCACTTGCCGGCCTCAGAACTTGACATTTTAAAAGGAATTTTAGAAGCATTTGCTGAATTAATGACAATTCTCACATTAGAAATCGAATGATGGGACCAACAGATGGAGAAATGGTTATGTCATCGGACTCCCACGTGGTCGACCACAGTTTGAGTCTCAAACCCAGAGGCTTAAACTCAGGCCAGGCATGTGTGTGCTTGCCCAAGATCCCAAGAGGAGAATGGAGGAGAAGGGATTGTGGCATGGCCATCCCTCCTAGGGGGTGACTACTTGTTTTCTGTCTCTCTGTCCCTCTCTGTCTTTCCAGTGAGCCCATGTCTCTATAGCAAAAAGCTCTCTTCAAAAAAAAAAGGAAAGAAAGAAATCAAGTGATCCAAGTGATACACACACAGAAAAATACCGTTCAAAACTTGTGCGGTAAGGAGTGTTTCCCAGGCTCCCTCTGGTCTCTGGGCCCAGGCTGTGAGGGTGGGTGTCATGGGGTGCTAGCTAGACCGGCCTTCGGCCTCTCCTGGAGCCCACCCATGACCCAGGCCTCAGGGGTGTCCTGTGCAGTGTCGGAGGCCCAGCCCATGCTGTCCTCATCTCCCGCCCTTCCTGCCTGGCTGTCCCTGGGGACCAGGTGTGGACTTGGTGAGCTGAAGGAGCCAGAAGAGCAGACGCAGGTGGGCCGCTGTGTAGGCACAGGCTAGTGCCCGCCGTTCCTTCTGGAAGGTGACACTCCTTGTTGAGAAGCTCCTGGAACCTCAAGTAACCCTGTCCTGGTGGATGTGTGGGGGTGGGAAGAGCTTAGTGATTGTGTGCCGAAGAACCAGACCCCTGTGACCGCATACAGGAGGACGCTGCGGCTTCCCTGGAAGCTGTGCTAGGTCACTGGAGAGAGCAGGGTGACGACCGAGCATGGTCAGTACTGCCCTGGCCTGTCACCTCCTTCCCTATCACCCTTCAGCCCTTGGCTGCAGCTGCCCCGTCCAGGGCCGTCTTCGCCTGAGTGGAGACAGAGGCTTTCATGCGCGACGTGTTGCTCTGGGCGTTTCTCGCAGCTTCTGAGGCAGCCGGCACCACCCCTAACCGCAGCATCCTAGGCTGCACGGGTGATGCCGCGAGGCTCCCTCCCTGGCAGGCGCTTCTTGGACAGCGATGTGGGTGTGCACCCTCAGAGCAGACAGGCGAGGCGACGTGCACAGCCTCTGTGGGACTCAGTGTCACAGGGTGTTTTAAAACTGGCTGCATGAGCTGGCAGTGTTCGTGGATGTCAACAAAGGA